CCTACCCCCTTTCTAGGAAAAAAGAGAATTCTTCCTAGAAGGAAGGGGGTATTGTAGATCTCTTCAAATGTTCATGATGTTAATGTTTGGCAGTAGTGTCTCCTCAACTGTGCATGGCTTAGAGCAGGGGTGGCCAAAATGTGGGTCGGACGTGGCCTTCCAGGCCATTGTATCCAGCTTGTGGAGCCCCTAAAAAAATTTAGAAAATCAATATTAATCTGCCCCTGGCTGCCTGTCATGTGGCCCTCGATGGCTTGCCAAAACTCAGTAAGCGGCCCTCCACCCAAAATAATTGCCCACCTCTGGCCTAGAGCCAGGTTGTCTTTTGCTATGTCCAGGCAAAGACTGCTAAGGAAAAGCTAGCCACTAAAGGCAGTGTGTCCCACCAGAGAGAGATTCTGATCTTGGCTTCAGCTGTGTTAATTTCAGGTAACTACGTGTCAGAGCTATGCCAAACTTTTCAAGTATGAACTAGATCAAAACTGGACTAATGGTTTATATGTGGACTAGACCATCTGTGAAAGAAACTACTTTCCTGCTGAGTCAAATTACATATGGCAAAATCTCTTGACAAACTTTGTTTTATTGGGGATAGATGCAGCATTCTATAAAAAGGGTTTTGTTAGTCTGGAAAATATTTTTTTTTTTTTAGAAACTGCTGTGCTTAATCAGTTGCTGTTGGTCTGGTTTATTATAATCTTGATCACAGCTATGCAATGGCAACCTGTTCCTGACTGGTGTTGGGGATGTTGAGAGCGTTTCTGTAAAGGCTGTTCATAATATACTGTGCAAAAAGGCACTGAGTTTCCTGTTTTTTTTGGATCCAACCTCCTTAGTACATGGGACCTTGCAATAGAGAGAGAGAACGTATCTTGCAGTTGAGTTCAAAAGTCGGGTGGAGTGTCTCCTATATTGTGCATCATCAAGAAATAGGATTTTTTTTTACTAGAATGTAAATAATACTTTGGATGAATTGGAAGAGAAACCCCCTGCTTCCCAGACCCCATAATCAATTTTACTCTCTCAGATGTTTACTTGTGATGGTAGCAAAGTAAAACAATGGACTTGGTACCACACATTGCATTTTAAGAGTTTGATTTGCTCTGATTTGAAAGAGAAGAGCCAGATTTCAGATTACAAGAGTAATATGTTTGTTTAGTATACATCAGTTCTGTGTACTCTCACAGATCAGAAAACCTTTAACCCTTTTCACTGGGGATAGTTAGAATATGCTACTCTTTGTAAAACATGCTTCATTTCAGATTAAATGTCTCTTGTTTCAGTGCATTCTGTAGCAAAGACTATAGATGTGGCCCCTTCTTGCAGAAGGAACCTGCTCCACCGTAATACTAAACTTTTTTTTTTTTAGCATTAGCTTCTGTCCCACTGGATGGCAGTTGAGGCTCAAAGTTCAGTGGTTCAGAGGACAGTGTGATGCTGGACACTTTAAGGAGGTTGCAGAGTGTTTCTGGCTGTGATGAGGATGTTGTGTGGGGTTGATGAGCTTTCACCTCTAACTCTGCAGGCTGACTGCTCACCAACAGTACTTCACTTTCTTCCTGCATAGGGTCTCTTCCAAATGAGATGAGACTTCCCCAGCCCTTGTTCCTGCAGGGGAGATAACTTATCTGTGTGTCCCTGATACAGCAGAGCCCTTCTTACTCTGTGGGGTGCTTCTGAACCTGGCTGGGGAGGCCACAAGGGGTTCCTTGAGTGGTCGAATCTTTCTCTGTATGGAACTCTTCCTCCCGTTGTCTTTCAGCTGAGGGTTCACTGACAACTTGTGCAGTCGTTCTGTGAAGCAGACCAGGAAACACCTGCGTTACTTCCTTTTCATTCTCCTCTCCACAAACCAAGGATTCTGCCAGCTAGCCCTCACCCACTTAGGCCTGTAGCCTAAGAGTCTAAGGGCAAAGTATGAAGACAGAAGTTCCTGAGTTTTCTAATCTCACTTTTGACCCTTTCTCCTCCTCTCTTTTGGCATAAAACATTTCCTCTCTTCCTCTCTCTTATCTCACACATGCAGTGGGCTTCATGACTCATCCACCTGCAGGTAGTACATGATTGTCTATAGTAATCAATATAGTATCATTATGGAAATACTTTCTGATTTACACTAGATATATTTTGGCTCTTCCTCAGTCCTGCTCAATCTTTCACTGGAATTCTTGTTTTATTATCCAGAATAATTGCCACTTCTACCCAGATCAGATGCTGAAAAGCTGCACTAAACAAACTTAAGAGGAAATTTTACAAAAGCTTTGTGAAAGGCAAAAAGTGGTATAATGGCCAAGACAGAGGGACAGGGACTTTCTTGAAAGAAGGTGATGTTCTAAGCCTCCCTCTTTGGGTCTCTAGGCTCCCATTTCTGTTATCCCAGTTCTTACCTGGTAGCTCAGGGTGGTATTTTCCCAGGTTTTCCAGCAAGGATTCATAGTAGATAGGTTCAGAATGATCTCCTCCTGCCAACAAGTCGGGATAATCAAATTAGCCTGTTTCTCATCAGAAAGACAGAGATAGGATTAAAGACTCATTAACTGAGACATGCACCAAATAACTCCAAGGAAGTGCTGCCATCTCAGTATGTAATGTTCAAACTGTGGCATCTGGTCTCCAGGTTGGTATGTCATGAGATGTACCTGCTACATGGGACTCTATCTCCCTGCATTAAACTTTGCTGACTGGACTCAAGATTTTTTTTCCTTGTACTGTCTGTCCCTTGGGAATTCCTTACTGGGATGATTTCTGTGGTTTAACTGTTCATGAACCCAAATCCCATGGAATAAAATGATGGAGATTCCCTTCTTAATAGGGGCATGTTGCCTGAATGGAGGCACAGCAGCATTGCTGCAGAGGGGCTTGGTTAGTCACTTACAGCAGGCCTGTGCAAATAGGGAAGTATTTGATTCAGATTTGGATTTGGCCGACAGCGATTCGATTCGGATCACCGTCCTGAATCAGTTGGCCGAATCAGCTTCAGAAGATTTGGCGCTGATTTGGAGAGATTTGGTGATTCAGCCATAGACTATAATGGGGAACCACTGAAATACCTATAATTTTGTCATTTTTCGGCTGATTTGGATAAAAATTGCAGGGATGGTAGCCCCTTCTGAGGGCATGAGGCCTGCCAAGTTTCAAGGAGATAGGTGCAGGGGTCTTACTGCCAGGGAAAACATAGCTTTCTTTTTAGAAAGCGTGGAGGAAAGAAACCAAGACCAAATATAAATTGAAAGAAATGGATTGGATAGGGATAACTAGAGGGATTCTAGTTCATAAGCTTATATCCAATCCTTTCCGAGAACAGAAAGTAGCAGGAGACTGACTAGGTAGGAAGCCAAGCCAGTCCAGTACCTTTCTGACACTGTTGCTCCGGAAGAAGCAGCTCACATATGGCACAGAAAGCCTGCAGACAGAGGCTTGAATGCTGTTTCTATGTCCCCCCCAGACACTGTGATTGGATGGGGACTCAAGGAAAGATCACAGCCACTGGCCAGTTACAGATGTTATTCCCCCCCACCCCTTTTCCCCTGAAAGCTTGCCTTCCGAATCTCTGAATCTTTTTGAATCAATTAGGAGTTTTTTTCCTTCTCCTGATTCGATGCAGATTTGGTGATTCGGCCTTCGAATCAGGCCGAATCTTCTCCAAATTGAATTGTGGACCAAAGCTTTGCAAACCCCTAACTTACGGATTACTCTGATGAGGATATAGCACTGCCTTTCTCGGAGGTATTTACTGGCCAGTTCAGATGCAGGATTTTCCACCTCACTCAGGTTCATCAGGATCCCTGCTTCATCCAGAAGGTCAATGCAATCTGGAGAGAGACAGGCTGAATCAAGGGTGTAGCCGTGTTGGTCTTCTGGCTCCCTTCCATGCCTACCAGGCTCTGGCTTCTTGACTATTCATTCCATCCAGGAAGAGCACACACCAACTGCAGGTGCTTCCCCAGTCTGATTAAGGGTTTTTAAACTGTAAAGCTTGCTCAGAAAAAAATGTCCAACTATTCAGTTGGTCTAATAAATAATATCAGATTTACCCAGACTGAATCAAGAAACTTCCATGTACCTGCAGGTGTAAAACTTATACAGACTTAATTCACACTGTATCTGTGCAGCACACAACTGTGGCCTGGTGCTGCTTCTATTTCATTGAGCTGCTCAGATTGTGTCCCCTGTGGGTCACTTCCCTGAGACAGGTGGCATGGAGCTTCTACTTCTTGCATGGGATGCTTACACCAGCACATGCCATGTCAACATTTTTATTTTAAAAGATTAAAAAGCCCAACAAATCATTACTGTCTAGTTTGTCTATTGATTAGTAAAAGACTTGGGACAACACAGGGTGTTATCCTTAGAGTGGATTCAAGATGGGTGGGGCTTTAAGGGAGATGGAGTGACCTCAGCTGCTCCCTTTTTTGCTACTTCTTTAATCCCCTTTTGACTCATCTTTCACTCTTCTGCCTGCTCCTCTAAGAGCAGTGAAGGCTTCCCCTCAGCAGGTGCCCTCTGCTTCTGTGTTGGAGGAGGTAGGCCTGGTACCTTCTTGCCTGCACTGGCACTTCCTCTTCAGGTGCGCGGTGAGGTTCAGGATCCGGCAGCGCAAATTGAAAATTGCTTGGCAATCAGCTGTGAAGAAGGGAAAGGGAGATGAGACAGGCTGATGGTTGCCCCAAGCCCAGGGAGCTGTTCAGCTGAGCAGAGAGTAGCAGCTGGTAGTCCAAGTATAAAGGAGAGAGAGACATTAACTGGTGAATTGGAGGACTGGGCAAACAAAAGGGAGGGTCATTTTACAGCACAAAGGAATGCACTAGCTGGACTGGGAGCTACAGACATGTGCTTCTCCTTTCTTTGTCCTTGGAGCTCGAAAACACTCCAAACTGGACTGCATCCAAAGTATTTTGGTGGCTTTGGCAGCAGGCTTGCTGCTTCCTAAGAGGCCTATCTGTTCTTTTGAAATTTATTTTAAAAAAAGCGAAAAATAAAGAAGAAAATTCAGGTCTCTGATCCTCCTTTTCTGCAAACTTATTTCAGTCACAGGTGACGGGAGTTTGGGAGCCTCTGCTTAATCACCAGTGGATATATTGTCTTGTAGGCAAATATCACTTTATTTAGTGTGATGGGAAAGGCCCAGGTACATGAATTGCCGGGGTAGGAATACTAGCAGTTGTCTGAGGAGGGGGCCAAAAAATAGGAGGGCAGAAGGAGCCACAGTTTAGGACTCTTTGGCAGAGATAACTGAGGGCTTAAAGAGTTTGAACAGCAGAGCTGCAAGTTAGTACATTTCCTTAATCTAGAAGATATTTGGGGGAGCCCCTACAATGTGGGCTAGCTAGCTGGGGCAGTCTGTAGTAGCTCTCTACAGTGGAAAATTGTCTCTTACTATTACTTCCAATGAACTGTACTGCATTGTATTACAGTTCACAGACTCTAGATCCTTGACTTGTGGGTCAAGTTATCAAATAGTGCAGTGGCAGTGCTTGTATAATATCTGTTCAGGAAAGCTCCGGCGCACAGCAGAGCTTGTCAGCCCTTCATTTTAAAAGCCTTCAAAACATTACACTATCTGAATGATCATTAAATATCACTTTTTAAAGGGAGCCATTCTCATACCATGCCAGCTACTCAGAACAGACTGCACTACAGTCAGGGGGTCCAGTCACCCGGCTGCTGGAGCTCAGGGTTTTGGGTTCTGGTTCTCAGAAACCTCCCTTGTCTGGAGTTGTAGAGGTACGAAGTGGGGAAACAAGACCAAGGTGTTACTGTGTAAGTTATCAGATGTGACACTCACAAAGCTATTGCAAACCGTTGACTGTTCTACATGGCCACTTTTCTGAAGGTCTAGGGTCACACTTTCAATAAGCAGAGACCCCTCCACCCCCCTCGATTGAATAGGGTTAGTGAAAAGCATGAAACTGTGGTTTTCACGTAGTGTTTTTGTTCCAAATGGTCCACAGCCTGAAAACACATAACAGAGTCTGCAAGAGCATGGATGGGAGGAAAGGTCTTTAATGAGCAGGTGGGAATGATTGCAATAGACCCCAGTAACAGCCCCACCCATTGCCTTGTCTCAGGTCTAGCTTTACAAATGATATTAGCTTTTAGCTAATTTTTAGATGTGATACAGTAGTTTTTGTTTCTGTTTTATCTCTAGGTTTTTTACAAAGAAGGTTAAATTGCCTCTCCCTTTCACAGCTGGGGAAACTGAAGTGCAGAGAGCTCACGCAGCTAGCCAGGGGTCTGCTGACTTTCCTATTCCCTGCCCAGGAGATGCACTATCTCCCAAAGAGCAATATCCCCTGCTAGGAGAAGGCCGAACAGTGGAAGTGCTGTAAGGTAGTAAGAGAAATGCACAGTACATGGCAAGAAAAGCTAGCTGAGAGACTGAGCCAGACAGGCAGTCAGGATCCCCCTCACTTACCTCCATATCTCACCGTGAAGAACATGGGCCAGACCTTCTTCACAGATCTCTTTGCCAGGATCTCTGCTCTTCTCTGCAGCTCAAACCCCTTTACTGATTTAAGGTTGAAGCGCTCTGGCTACTTACTGTTTTGGGGCAGACTTGCTGGCAGTTTTGATGACAGAGAGCCTGTTGTTAAGACGGGTATAATTCAGTAAGGAGGAGGGGTATGCAGTCCCCTGGCTCAGGCCCTCATTGGCTTCAACAACCAGATTTCCCAGCAACGGGGAAATAACTCCTGTGGCTTCCCAAGCCTCTCAAAGGAGCTAGGCAGGGGGTGGAGCAAGGTCTGTGCTGAAATGAACAAGCTGAAGCATTTTGTTCCATCGTTTTAGCATCACAGCTGGTTTCAGGGATGAGCAGCCAGGGCTACTGCCTGGGGTCAAAGGGACCCTGCTATGCTAAGTTAGTGCAAGATGTCAGTAGATGAAGGGAGCAGACCACATCTTTGTCTCTGCTCTCAAAAGCCTGATGTTGGTTCTGTTGGCACCATATATCAGTCTTAGGTCTTTGCAGACCACAGCACTGTCCTGTTTGCTCCAGCTCCTGCCTAGGTGACCTGACACTGGAAGCCAGCAGTGCCGCAGAACCAGGCTGAGTGCAGAAGAGGGATGTCTGGTTTCTCAGCATATCATGAGTGCCTTCCTGACTCCACTGTCTTTGTTTACTGATGCCAGTAAACGCCAGTGAAACAGCAACTCCTTCACCATCAGAGAAGGTGCTGAGCAGCTGACCTGGTGCTGAGGGCAGGCTTGTTTAGTGGGGCAGGGAGGTCCAAGAGACACTGCACTGCCTGAGAACTTAGGGGGGGGGTCTAGTCTGAGCTCTGCTACTGTCATGCTGGGTAACCTTGGGCAAATCACTTGGTACCTCAGTGTCTTTATATGCCTAATGAGGATATTCACACTTATATCCAGTGTAAACTGCTTAGAGATCTGTGCATGGAGCATGCTGTATTTGAGCTAGATACTAGTACTGCAAGCTGGGCCTATAGGATATTTGAATGGCAGGGAGGGTAAATCTCGCAAAGCAAGATGACTACAGGATGTTAGTGTGTCAGGTTAATATTTCTCCCCCTCCACTTAAAATGGCAATCATTGCCACCTACATAGCAGGTTGCATCTCCCAAGGAATATCCCACCATCATCAAATGTAAACTTCTTCCCAACCACCTGTGCAGTCCATCAGCAAAGTGTCACCACTCCCATTTTGCTGAAGTGATGCTGAGGCACAGAGTTGCTGGCCAGTGGCCACTTAGGGGTCTCATGGGGGAGCACAGATTAGGATGGAGGAGTTCCTGCACGCAGATCTGGTTAATTAGGACTTCTCATCAGGCTCTTTTTAATTCTATCTGTTCACTGATCTATTCCTCTTGTCTCAGTTTTTTCTACTGAAATGCTAGTGGCCCCTCGCCATCCCTCCCATGGGCCTAGTTATTGTGTTGCTGTTACTGTGGTGTTGTTGTCATGGTGACACAAAATTGGAAGAAATCTGAACTGGAATATTACCCTACATCCAACATTTTCTGCTGCAAACTGTCTCCATAGAGATGGTTGCCAGGCAAGCTGTGAGGTATTCATAGTTTGGTCCCCTGGAACCTTTTAGATAATGTGTTTCTGGCGTCACCCCCTTGCAGACTTGGTCACCGTATATGCAGGCCCATAGGTCTCAACTTCAGGTTTGAAATGTTTTCAGGTCCATGTGTTAGGGGTGGATTTGGGTATGTTGAGAGTCTGGATGCAAAAACCCATGTTAGGCCAACTCCGCTTGCTTTCAGACTGAGCATCAGTGATGGTGAAACAGGCAGAGATGATGGAGACATCTCATCTTGCCAAGCATCCTCTTAGGGGCTATTACAAGCCTTGATATGGTGGGCAACATGCTTGTAAAACAGGAGTGTTGATTAGGTATCTGGGGATATCATAGACTTCCATAACTTATCCTAGGACCAGGAACAAAGGACAGTTAATTTAAGAGAAAAATAGTCTCAACCTCAGACATTAAAATCGAAGGAAATCATGAGCTACGATCACATGTAGCACACTCTGATATCAGCATCCTCATGAACAACTAATTCACACACACCCCATAAAAGACACATTTTTCAGCAATTATAACCTAAAAAGCCTGAATTCTGCCGCTATGTTTGTATTAACATTTTAGTGAATGAGACAACTCCCTCTCATCACAGTGGTTTTCTCAGATGCAGAAGCATAAATCCCCTAAGCCACCACAGGAGGGTAATATCTGTTTATGGTTAAATGAGAGCCTCACAGGCTATGTACAGACACTCAAAAAGGTCGAAGCAGAATGGATGTAAGTTATGCTATTTTCTCTAAGTGACTTAATGTAGATTGGTAGTGAGCAAAACACGCATTCGCCCTTTGCAGGGGGTGCAAATCTAAGACCAGTTTTCTCCATTTTAAACATAGTCTGCGTGTGCCAGACTTCTGTTCTGTTATGGGTATAGACCAATTTCTGATCACTTATTCTGGTTAAAGTGTAATGTCTGACCCTAGCGACAGACAGCTGCTTGTGGTATGATCTGGGCAGTCATCACAGGTATTTTAATTTGAGGGAACTGGGAGTGCTTCAAGAAGAGGGATCTGTAACTCTGAAGGGGACATGGTTTCCATAGAGTTAGCACCAAAGCCCTTGTTCCAGCATGGCATCAGCAAGCAGTGACCTGTGAGGAGTGTGGGATCTCTGATTGAGGTCTTTAGCACCTGTGCTATTAGAAAATCTCCCCAATACTTTTTGTAGGAACAGGATTGCTAATGCCTGAATCAGGGTCAAATTTCAGAGGTTTGTATCCTTGCATGTGTGCCCTCTTCCTGGCCTGTTCCCTTCTGCTCGTGTCCAGGCTCTGTTGCTCCTAGGCTCTGTTACTGGTGTCTCCCCTCTGTTGTCTGGACCGGCCTCCTGTACCTTTGTCTGCTGCCTGTTCTGACTACTTCACCCATTGCTACCCATTATTCTGCTTGTTAGGCTCTTGCATTTATCAGGCACATTTCAACTGTTCACCCAATGCTTAATATTCTGACTTATCTAACTGCATTGGTTTACTGTCTCTTTGGTGAATCTCCTATGCCAGTGTTAGGCAACCAGAATGACCCACATCAGGTTAGAGGTGGGTAGACAGGTGGGTGCTAGGACCTGGCTGCTGCTGCTACTTCTCCCCACCACCAAGAAACCCATATCCACAGGCCGGATCCAGCTCGTGGGCCATAGGTTCCTCACCTCTGCCCTATATGACTGCCCTATATGACTGCCTCTTTCCTCTTTTCACCTCCTTGCCCACAGGAGGGTTTGGTCTCTACCTTATCTCCCACCCCGCTCAACCTCAGATGCTCACGGAGGCCTGGCTCTCACTGCTTCCACAGCTCCCCTGAGTGTAGTGACCTTAGCTACAGCATTATCCCATCATGACGCTCTCATCTACCAAGAAAAGAGGAGAGGGTTAGGCTGGGCTATCACTGTCCAGGCCTGCCACTTCTGTCCTTCTTCTTATCCCACTCCCTTCTCCTTCATCAGAGTCTCTTCTGGGTAATTTCAGTATCTCTATCATTTACTTGACAGTGGTAATAAGACTCTCACACTTCAAATTGTAAGAGTATTGCTTCCTAGCTAAGGTAAATGTACAAGAGGGGGCCTGGGCCTCCATCCTTAGAGCGTAACCCAAACATTTGCTGTGTAGGCTGAGAAAGGCACAACCGTCTGCCATATCTGTGAGTGAGACAACTGGACCAACTCTTGAGGCTGATGGGGAGGAGATGGGAGGCTGCTGAGTGAGATGACCATCAGTGTGGTAGTTGAAGGCATGGACAACAGTGACAAGAGACTGTGAAAAAGGGAGAGGAAGAGTCACGGGTCAAGCCAAGAAGAGCGGGGAAATACTTCCAGGGGAATCTGCCATTTTTAAGAGAGGCATCCAAAATGCTTGAGGAAAAGGTGATATCTTTTATTAGACCAACTAGATAGTTGCAAAAAAAATATTTGTTTATTTATTGATTGTTAATAGAGGAATCCTATCTGGGAAACAGGTGTTCCCTTTCCGTTTGGGGGAAGCAGGAACAGGAGCCTTACATTCAGGTAATTGTTCTTTCTTAAAAGGTCAGGGTGCTGGGTTTGCACTGATGTGGGACATGTCTCGTCTGAAGCACGTCGTCTTTTCTCTGAGACTAGGGGGCAGAACAGGGTCCTAATTAGGTTACTATTAGGCACACTCTTTCACACCACGTGTCTGGCTGAGGTGAGAGAATCAGCCTCTCACATTGGCTGCATCCTCTGGTGTCAATTATTGGTGTTTGCAGACCCTGCTAGCAATGTGAGGCTTTGGAGGAGAACACGAGTTAACCATGGCTGTCTCTATTTTGGTGATGATGATTTCCTCTTTACTGGGGGAATTCCTTTCCCTAGGTAAGCAGAGTTATACTATCCAATTATTTTTCTGCTTTAGTCTTTTGGGAATGTTGCTCAGTAAAGGAGGTAGATGGGAACCTGCTGTAATGGAGTTGGGGTAGCAGAGATGGGGAAACTGAGAAAGACAAAATATTGTAGATGGTCTTGCAACAGAGTGACAGAAAAAAATCTTCTTTGACCCTTGGAGAGGCGCAGAATTCACAGAACACATCTGTATGCACCATGAGAGTCAAATACCCCCAGGGCTCTGAGGAGCTTAAAACTGGGTTTGAAATGGCCTTTTTGGCTTGTTTCTGTCTCTGTTCATTAAGAAGGTGCTAGTCACACATTGTTCACACATTGTTTGACTAAATTATTTCTGATGTGCCAATGGAGAGCTTTTAAAATGTTGTTTTCTATGGAATTTGACATACACACTATAACAAATCCAGATTAGGAATAAAATATTTGCTAACAAAGAACCTGTGCTGAAATTCATGGCAGCAAGGAAGGAAAAATTGCTAATCTGAGGAATAACAAACTGACTTTTATTCTGCCTTGTACTCATATGTACTGTTTTTGTTAATGGCTATCAAAGTGTGTTTTAGTATTCAAATATAACTAATGCTTGCAGAATTAACTGCAATATTAACATTGAGTATGGATTGGACCTGCTTTCTTTTAAATGTAAAAAAAATCTTTTCTTTTACCAAAAGGAAACGAATTTATTGTCTTTAAATATTTTTTTCAGTAGCATTTCCTTCTGGGGTTCTCCAGAAAGATGAAATTACTTTTTGGCCTGTATAATACTAGGAGATTGAATAGTACAATGGATAACTAAATCTTATCTAAGTAGCATTCAACATTTGGGTAAGCTGGTTTAATAGCTTGGGGGAGTATTGTATAATAAAATATATTGTATTGATCTCCAGAAATTTAATAAAAAAGTTTCCAAGTTATTTGACAGTTCCCCTGAGATGAAATATATATTATAGTAGAAATACTGTTTATTGTTATGACTACTGTATATAAAGATATTATATAGAAAACACAGCTAGCATCAGATGGAGGAGTTTTCAATATACTTCATGATATGACTAACTCTATGGATAAAAGTCAAAACCACTGTAATGGGATTATGTAATAATGCTGAACTTCCAAAGAACTATTTTTGGGCTATGTGGGGATTAGTTGAAGTCAGGGTTGAGGTACATTGTAAGTGGATTTGCTAGAAACTTGTAAGCCTGGAAGTGTGTTTATGCTGTGGCTGCTCTGTTGATGAAGAGACATCTGTTCCCGAGGGTGGTCAATCTTTTACTAGAGTTTAAATTAATAAACATAACAATATTAAAACCAAATAAA